ACCCTGAGATATAAAGCCACAATATATTTTTTTTATCAGTGTTTGATTCCAGGTGTTTCTTTTCACCTATTTTCTCAGTTAAAATATAAAAATGTCACAAAAATACAACATTTCATAATAAAAACCTTTTTTTCACATTTACACTTTTTCATCAAGTATTCAGTAGTTCATAATTCTATTCATAGTCTGATTTATTTTCCAGTTTATTCCTCATTATTTTGTTTTTTTGTCATTATTTTGACCATAGTCCTAAGCCCCTAAAAACGTTTCACCATAGCCCCTAAAAACAACTTTTTATTATCTAATAAATATTTCAAATCTCAGTGTCAGATCTTTTTGACAACAATGACTTCATATTTCATTATTACAGGAAGTCAGTAATTACTTTTTAATATCAATGTAGTTTAAACCACTTGAACACAAATTACTTTTGATGTAAAAATAATAGTATTTGCTGACTCCAAAATACATAAATGAATGGATTGATGGACTTTATTAATCCTAAAATGAGAAATTCAGTGTCAAAGCAGAATTATTGTCCATGATTAACCTTCATCTTTTTTTTATGGTTTCACCTTTAAATCCTCTAATAACAATATTAATTATAGCAATAACAATGACTTGTATTTAATTATTATGAAGTATTTTGTTGTACTCCCACTTCTGTATTTCCCAGTTAAGCTTCTAGCTGGTTCTTCTTCCACTGATTCTGTTTGGATTGTCCTGCAGCCTTTCCGTCTCTCACTGTCTCAGAAAAGAGGCAGTGACAGGAAGGTCAATGGTCCACGGCTGGGCTGAATATAGACACTGAGTGGTGCATACCAGCAGCAGCAGCAGCAGCAGCAGCAGCAGCAGTGGCAGCAGCAGTAAAGCCTCCCCCGCTGCTATTATAACCTCCACCACTGCCAGTACTTGAGCCTCCGCTGTGGACTTGAAGAGATAAGGGGATAAATGTGTTGGGGCTGAATGTGAACCAGGAGACCCTTCATGCCTGAATCACCACTGACTTTAGCCTGAATTCTTTTCTCTCGACACACAGTTGTACTTTGTTGTTAATTCAGGTGAGAGTAAGAATCATTTAAAAACACACCCAAACTTTCCTGTGAGTCAAAATAATTCTCACATTATTCAAATAGAAGTAGAACTGAAAATTGCCCCAAACTAAATTCTATCCAAAACTATAGCAAAATAAGTTAAAGTTGTACTAAAAGCCTAAAGGAAAGCTGAAAACACCCAGCAAATGGCCATAGAAATTGAAAAAAAATATTATATAAAAAAGAGAAATAACAAAAAAGTGAATGCCAAATATGATGATGTGAAAAGGCTAGAAAAAGGAGAGAACTTCCCTAAATACACTGGGTCATTAGTATCCAAAACTATAACAGAAGTAGATAATGGTTCGCAGGAAGCTGAGAAAAGTAATAATTTCCCTAAATATCCAATGAAGGAAACTTCAAGTTAAAGCAGCTTTTGTTTTTTAGTTAGACAAAATATAACCCACACAAAACTAAAAAAAAAAAAAACACCTAAGAAAACTAGATAAAAAATACTAAATTAATCAAGAGATGGCTTAACAATATAGCAATAGCAAAAATAGCTTAATGTAGCCAACAATATGCTAAAACAATGAAATGATAACAGTTGAGTTAGAATAAATCCAAAGAAGGCTAAGACATATTCTTGAAATGCCGTCTCTAAGAACCTGCCAGAAGCAGTTGTCCTTCTCAGTAGGCAGCAGCTAATGAGACATGACCGACTTTAAAACCTTTTATTACTCATCACTAAACCACTCCAGATCACCGTGTTCCTGTGGAACATGACGCTTCCAACAGAGCCGGTTTATAAAAAGCTGTGAGTTTATGTATTTGTCTCCAGCCTTACGTCAGACCACTACCACCCAGGCTGGAGCACGCTGACATCATCGCCATGCTATGCCATCACCTTTGTGGAAGCCCTTTACACAGGCCAGACATATTCAAAAGTGTTGGCATCAAACCCCTGACCTGTCTCAGCCTGTGTGACGCCTCCAGACCATGACGTGAACGTTCATCCTTGGTGATTGATGAGGGCATTGTCCTTGCGTCTCTGTGGCATTAGGTCACATGGCGGCCTCAGGTGTGAGATTTCTGACCCATATTTATAGGATCCTGTTGTTTTTCTTTTGTTGTTGTTCTCTGGTTGTCTTTGGCAGTGGCATCACTGCTATGTTGGTCAGATTGTCTTCTCCCCGTCTATCTCTTCTATCTCTTCGCCCATTACTAACATACCACACATTACTGCGAGATACAAAACACTTTTATGACCTGTGACCTACGATTCAAATGACCAGGCAGGTGTTTGGACCACACCCCTCTTCTGGTTCTTGTTTTAACATATGATCATCTGTGATAAATGTTTTCAGACCCCATCTAGAACCATCTGATTGGCTCCCATCCTAATTGGCTCCTCCTGCTTCCTGGTTGGTGTCTGTATATATTTTTAAATACAAAAATGTTGACCAAATCTCAGTCCATCCTAAAACTAAAGATAGAACTTTAAAACTCTTTAAAATTGTCTTGCACATATCCATTACCCCACTCCCAACCGCCCAGGGAGCAGAAGTCCTTCTTGACACGTCAACAGCAGTATATATTAGACCTGGACAAGTAATGTTAACCCTGTAAAGCTTTTATTTGAAGCTGAGGAATTTAGTTTTGTTGAGATATTTTTGTTGATATGTTGGGCATTTCTGGAAACTTTTTGCTCACAACATTGTTGGTTTGAGAAGTTTAAACAAGTCATTTGCCCATAAAAGTTCCAAAATATAGAGACAGTTTTCAAATCTGATACCAGTGGTTTACCTGGGTTACTACAAACCTGGTATTTAAACTAACACACATCCCTCACATCCCTCACATCCCTCCCAAAAAAAAGAAAGGTGATATCCTTGGCTCTATGGGGGCCCAGGTCTGTCAGGTTGTTTGAAAACAGGAACAGAATTGGTTAGTCTTATAATTAATGTTCGTACTTTAACACCATTGGCCACATCCCATCTTAACTGAGACCAAAACCCACAAAAAAGTAAATTTAGTTCATAAAATTAAAGATTCAGCCTGAAATCTCGAGGAGAAAAAGACTCTCACACTTGCATCTCCTTTCCTCCCATTCTGGCGCAGTCCAATAAAAACCTGGGGTTCTAAATAAGTCTCAGATTTTATTAGACTCCTAAACTGAGCGTCAGCAGAAGTTATATGTGAAAACCAGACTGGATACAGAGTTGTTGATTTATTCATTTCTGTGACACACGCAGAGTAGGCTTCATCCAGCCAAGATCAGATGTACTACACGTGGGTTGAATGAAGCATTAAGCATGAGTTCAACACGGCCGAGCATGAACCTACTACTGTATGAGGCATGTACTCATGCACAGCCCACTGAGGTGGACGCTGATCTCTGGTTTTGGACCCTCATTGTATGAGTGTAGTCTGAACAGGCAGCTGCTCTCCTGAGGTTAAACTTTCCCCGAACCTGACGCAGCCGAAATTATCCCAAACCAAGCACCTAACGCAAAATAACTACAAAGAGTAGAATTTCAAAATGTCATAGGTTTTTATTCTGAGCACATAATGAGAGGCAATCGTTTCTATTTATGGTCTCCTTCCATCCCACGGTGTTGTTGCCTGGGGAGAGAGAACATGCCAAGAGCTAAGAGGTCCAGTGTGGGTGTTTTCTGAACGTCAGCACAGACCGCTATGTTTCCTAATGATGCTTTGTATCAAGAAAAGTCAAATATAAAATCAATAAGCTTCTCTAATTGGCTATCCCCTGAGATGTGGCGTGCTATATGATGGATCCTAAACCATCCCTTTGTGAATGATGACTCCTCTGCTTTGGTCTTGTCATGAAATCTGTTACAGACTAGGACAAAGAGCAGAGAAAAAGGGAGACAATATGGAAAAAGTCAGTATGTGGGGGTTCACAGTACAGTAAGTCAATGTGCATAGTATTAAAATCTGTACTCGCTCTAGGCAGGTATCAAAGTATGTAGGTCAGGGGTGTCAAACCCATTTTGGTTCAAGAGCCACATTCAGCCTGATTAGCTGTGAAGTGGACCAGTACAATCATAACATAAGTCCATGTTTTTCTCCTTTGTTTTCCTTTTGTTTTTTTTCTGCAAATGTACAAATATATATATATATAAACAAAATGGAATATATTTGACTTAAATTACTAATTCGCAGTATTTGTGCAGTTTCTCACTTTAAAGATTCATTAAGCGGGCCATACTGAACCCCCAGTGGGCTGGTTTTGGTCCGCAGGCCTTATGTTTGACACCCCTGATGTAGGTAGCTATGCAGGTGAAATAGCTGTGCAGGTAAGAAATAGGCAAACAAATAGGTAACTGTCAGTAGCTGCTGGAGGAAGGTTAATTAAAAAAGAGGAAATGACGTCATAGGATAGAAAAATCAAGAGAAGATAATGTCAATGAGAAAATAATTGAACCATTTTAACTAAAAATTCAAATCAAGACAAGTGCAAGTGGAACAAGAGTTGTTTTGCAAGTCATGGTCTGTATAGAGCCAGTAAATGAATGAGACGTGCTCCCAGTCCAACTGCAAAGCCTCCCGCTGGCATTTGGAAGATTATGTATTATTTCTTCCATTGTTGGTCTCCACGGTCCAGTTGCTCTGGTGTATATACTGTATATTGTCCTGCATCATAATTATGTCAAATTTAAGTGGCAATGTCCATAAAATGCTATGCTATTGATTATGTTGGAAACATTTCCCCCGACCTCTTTGTAACAACAGAAAACTCCTACAGTCACAGAGTGTCCCTGAAGTGCAATTACGGAAGGGCAGAAACTTAGTCTAAGTTGTTCCCGTATGTGCCAGAAATAAATAGAGGGTGAAAAACACAACCAATGTTTTTAACAAAAATAATGTGTCATCTTGAAGATGAAACTTGTTCTACATGCAGTAAGTCACCTTTTAATCTCCTGTGCCTGGTTTGTCTTCCAGCTGCAGGCAGCCTCGGCAGATCCAGGTCAGGACGTCCTGAGGAGAGGCCACTGAGCGTCGGTGACCCGGACTCTGAGCAGGTGTCAGTGAAAGAGCGGCTCGCAATGTATCAGGCTGCTGTCTCTAAGAAAGAAACCAGCGGGCCTGGCTCAGCTGCGGTAAGATGATCACGACCACAGGATGTAATCAGAGAGGACAGACAGGATGTGTCGAAATCAGAGAGGACAGACAGGATGTGTCGAGAACAGATTAGAAAAATGTCATTTAGCAGCAGTACAAATATGAAGATGACTCATTTAAACATCATTAGAGCTTTAACCGTGTCATATAGTTTGTTGTTGCGTTAGGTAGATATGATAGTATCTACCTAGGCCAGGCATGGGCAAACTACAGCTCGGGGGCCTAATGCAGCCTGTTTGGCTTTTTAATCCGGCCCACCAAACTTTTCCAAATTATTTTATTAATTTCTATTTTCGTTATATTTCTGCCTTTCCCCTGCAATGCCCACATTTCCTCAATAGATACACAAGGCTGAAAGCATTTTAGCATTTTAGCCTTTACTGACTGACTTTTACATGTCATTTCTTTTAAACCCTATCTACCTGCACCTGACTCGGCCCCCCGTCATATTTTAGGGCCCATTGTGACCCACGAGTCAAAAAGTTTGCCCCCACCTCTAACCTTTTCCTCAGTCAAAAAGTTTGCCCCCACCTGATCTAACCTTTTCCTTTTTACTCCGAGGAGCCAGTGAAAGAGCAGTCAAACAAATGTTTTTTAATGTAGATGAATGAGTAGAATGTAGGAGGAAGAAAGTGTATCCATAGGTTGGTGGACAGGAAGGGAGATGCATCATTGTGAGTAGCTATTGATCCCTGATGGGAATGTTAGTAGGAATCTAAGTAGAAAGGTAGGTAGGTAGTTTGTTGGGTAGGCAAGTTTAATCATAGGTAGCATAACATAGTATGGCAGGCAGTTAGTGGGTATTTGGGTAGGAAAAATATTTGGTAGCAACAAGGGTTGGAAGGTCTGTAGGAAAGTCAAAAGGTCGATACATTGGTAATTAATTAGAACACTAGATAGGTTTTAAAACCAGCACAGGAAAAGGTCATTATGTATACCAGGGGTCACTGACCTTTTTTTAAACTGAGGGCTACGTCAACAGCACTGAGAAAAATAAAGGACGTCTTTGATGCGCACTTGAATAATGTAATAATAATAAAAAATTAATTCTGCTCTGTCAGGTTGTGAGACACACGGTAGGAGACATTCTTCTTACTGTGGTCCATGATGGCACCACGTTGGTGAGGACAGACTCTGGGTAGTTAGTGAGGTTGGTGGATAAGTTGGTGGATTGGAATTTCTTTATAGAAAGATAAGAAAGTTAAAAAAATTCAGACATACATTTATTTATATATATTTAAAGAGGGATAATATATCGCCAAACATTTGAGTAGAAAGTGAAAACTCACTCACTCACTCACTCACACAATTGTTTGCAGATATAAAAGACATTTTAAACCCCAGACCTTCAGTCACTGAAATGCTTCACATCTTTGTTCAGGCCATATAAAATAAGCCCAGTTGATCAAATACTTCCATTTCTCCAGTCTGAAAAGCATCCAGTTCAAGAATAGAGTGATGAATACCAGATGTCAAACAACAACAAACAGACTTTTGACATTATTCCCAGAACGGTGTGAACAGTGTATATTCAGACATTTACAAATATGTTTTGGCTTCATTTCCTATCAAGAGGCAGCTACAACGCCTGCTCTGA